GTCTTACAGGATAATAAATCCAAAGGCAGAGGTTCAGGAATAAGGAAGGAAGGAAGGAAGGAAGGAAGGAAGGAAGGAGGGAGGGAGGGAGGGAGGGAGGGAGGGAGGGAGGGACAGACAATATTGAAACTTTAAAATAGCTCTGTACAAACTGTGTACCTGGGTGCCATTTGGTCATACCCAATTCCTAGGAAACTATTTTCACTATTATCCACATCCTCCAATGTCAAACTTTCTTCCTCACCAGATTAAACTTCTGCATGGATTTGTGGCGCCAAGGGCCTCCTCCCCACTATTTCTGGCTGCAGCTGTCACTAGGCCTGGCTACCTTCCCCGGCATTAGATCACCACAGCACATGGTTTGGATGGGGAGCCTGTTGACAGGGATGGAGGAGTACTTGGCCATGACTTTACCAAGGCAGACCTTACAACTGGGAGAAATGCTCATATTTGTTATAAGGGCTCATCACACGCAGAGACCCCTTGTCAGAGAAAGACAGATGTTACCTCCGGGGCTAATCCTCTTGGTGACTGAGGAGGCAAACTCTAGGCATGCTATATTTACACAGATAACTAGACTAGTCACTGGAAGATGAGACATCTTAAATATTCTACTACAGGAAATGTGCCTCTACTTGCTTCTTAGACATAATGTTTTTTCACATATCATGTACTGACTTTCCATTGTTGTAGGTAAAGATTTTTCCTTTTTTTTCCTCCCCATCCCCACTGTCCCTCCTCTAGCCCACCACCTCCAACAGACCAGTGTATGATGTTCCCCTCCCCGTGCCCATGTTTTCTCATCATTCAACACCCACCTATGAGTCAGAACATGTAGTGTTTGGTTTTCTGTTCTTGTGTCAGTTTGCTGAGAATGATGGTTTCCAGATTCATCCATATCCCTACAAAAGTCATGAACTGATTCTTTTTTTATGGCTGTGCAGTATTCCATGGTGTATATGTACCACATTTTCTTTATCCAGTCTATCACTGATGGGCATTTGGGCTGGTTCCAAGTCTTTGCTATTGTAAGCAGTGCCGCAATGAACATACGTGTGCATGTGCTTAGACACACTTCTTGTTGTAGCGGGTTGAATATACAGAAGTATAAGCAGAAAGTTTATTTCCCCCTCTTTTTCTTTAGCCTCCTCTCCAAGTTATCAGTATTATCAGTTTGGTGGCTTATCTTCCCCACTTATTCCATTTTCAGACAAACCAATGCATATTTATAGGGTTAATTCCTCCCTCTGTAACACTTTTTTGAATATAAATGGGATTATACAATATGCTTCCTATTCAAATTGCTTTGTCTCACATTTTATTATAAATATTATTCCAGATAGGTACATTTAGTTCTAACTTATTCTTTTTATTTGTTATTTATTTATTTTGAGAAAGGGTCTCACTCTGTTGCCCAGGCTGGAATGTACTGGTGTGATCTCGGCCCACTGCAGCCTTGATCTCTTGGGCTCAGGTGATCCTCCTAACTCAGCCTCCCGAGTAGCTCAGAGGTGCTCACCACCACACCTGGCTAATTTTTTGTAATTTTGGTAGAGATGATGTTGCCAAGGTTGGCTTCAAACTCCTGCACTCAAGTGATCCACCCATCTCAGCCTCCCAAAGTACTAGCATTACAAGCGTGAGCCACTGAGCCTGGCTTTTATTCTTTTTAAATACCTGTACAATATTGCCTGGGAGAAGAGGCAATATTATACAAGTATTTAAGGATTTCAAGACATTGTCAATTTTATTTCAGCGTTAATCATTGATTTTTTTTATTCCAGGGAAATTAAATGGTAAGTAAACTGACATATATTTGAAAACATTCTGGCTTAAAAAGGGAAAAAGAGTTATGTCTCAGAAGTCTGGAAATTCTTGAAATATCAGTGTGATGATAAACACAGTTTTACTCTACGGGTGCATCTGAAGCTAGCTCCCAAGTGGGAAACTGGGGTCCTGCTAAGTCTTGGGACTAGCAGCCCCTCACAATGCAGTTCTCCTCTTTAGGGAGTGGCTCTGGCCTGAGCTGACGTTCAGCATCTCTCCTTCGTTCCTCTCTTTGCAAGAATGGCTGTCTTGCCACCTCTTGGATCTGCTCACCAAGGGAGGGAAGGAGGGAGGAACGGAGAAGGCACCGCCCAGCATTAGCATGCATATCACACACCCTCCCTTTGTTCTCTTGGCTGAGGTCAGATGGAATAAATCAATCCGCCTTCACATCCAAGTGTCCAGGGGGGCAGTCCAGTCCATGTGTGCATTGTCCATCTTTTAACCCTCAATTGGGGTCAGCATGTGTAAAAGAGAACCAGAAAAACCCTTGGGCAGTAAGCAGATGTTCCCAGGAACCCTTCAGCTCTGAGGCCTCTCTACGAGTTACCCAGCATACGCATTTTAGGTGGGGGCAGCCAGCTCAGACTCTTTGAGGGCTGCAAATCCACGCTGCTAACAGGAGATGCCACTTTGTTTTTTTTGTTTTGTTTTTAGAAGGAGTCTCACTCTGTTGTCCAGGCTGGAGCACATGGCACAATCTCTGCTCGCTGCAACTTCTGCCTCCTGGGTTCAAGCAATTCTCCTGCCTCAGTCTCCCAAGTAGCTGGGATTACAGGCGCCCACCACCATGCCCGGCTAATTTTTGTATTTTAGTAGAGATGGGCTTTCACCTTGTTGGCCAGGCTGGTCTCAGACTCCTGACCTCAAATTGATCCACCTGCCTCAGCTTCCGAAGTATTGGGATTATAGGTGTGAGCCACCACGCCTGGCTGAGATGCCACTTTGGATCACTTGCTCTACTAGATATGTGCTAGGCTCTGAAGTTTATCACTTGATCCTCCTTCCTCCTGCAAGGTAGGTATTATCTACATTCTATAGCTAGGATGCTGATGCTCAGAGAGCCTGAGACTTTCCTAGGACCTCACAACTTTAGGGAATAGGCACCATGAAAGTGTGCATTCACTTAGCCTAACAGCCTGGCTTTAACCAGAAGTGTCCTTGACTGCCTTTGGTTCTCTGCCAGGGTCTTGACCTCCAACATCCAATTTAGCTGTCAACAGATTCATCTTTTTCAGGCCTCCAAGCCTAAGAGTTGGGCCTTATAGGCATAGCCTAATAGCTCCACAATAACCTAACGAGGTAGTTAAATTCTCTGTCTGTCCAAGCCCCTCCAAGTTGGTAAGTACGGGGCCTTTCAAGCCAATTTATGCCTTTTGACCAGAATAACAAGGTTCTGGACATAAGAAATCTTAAAGATCATCTTACCCAAACCCCTCATTTCATAGATGAGGCAACAGGAGAGTGAATATGTTTGCCTGGGTGGTGAGAGTTGGGGTGGGTGACAGGTGAGGTGGTGGACTAGTGAGAGCAGTGGCCAGAGGATGGGATAACCAGAGTTTGCACATTACAGCCTGTGGGCCGATCCATACCTCTACCTGTTTTTGTAAATAAAGTTTTATTGGAATGTAGGCACACCCATTGATTTATGTATTGTCTTTGGCTGTTTCCAAACTATGGCAGCAGAGTCCAATAACTGCAACGCAGACAGATGACCCTTAAGGTCTAAAAGATTTACTATCTGGCCTCCACAAAAGAATGTTTCTGCCCCAGGGAAAGAGAGAGGCACACAGGTAGATATGAGTTATTAGTAACTTTCTAGTTCTTAGAGGGAGCGTTAAGTCTACAAGTGTTTGTTGTGTTATGATGAATGAATGATTGAATGCTAACATGGGCCATTGATGGTTATGTATTATCAGGAAATTATTATTAAATTCTGTGCACCTGAAACGGACAGCTAGGAGGAGGGACTGGAAGGAAGGAGGGAAGAAATCTTTGAGCTCTGAAGATTTAAGTGGCTGTTCATCGCCTGACTTCTTTTGTCACCTACATCTGACTTTTGCCCATTGTATCTGTGATGCTCAAAATATGTCAGAGAGAAGGACAACAGATGGCAGGTTGGGTAAAGTGGGCTTTCTGGAAGAGGCAGGATGAATATGCTGGGTTCTGTGGGGTGAGAAGGGGCTTGGCCAAGGGATGAAAGAGTTCCCAAAGTATAGGTTGTTGAAAATAACCAAAATTTGATTTTTTTCAACTTCAGTTCACAAGGGGCCTCTTCCCTCTGTACCTGCAGAGTGGCATGAGGGGTCAGGCTCCAGGGTTCTCTCTCGGGACCTCCTTCGGGACATCCCTCCTGCTGAGAGGTCCAGGTTGTCCTCAAATGCTGGCAGCATGCAAGTCCTGGAAGCCATTCTCATGGGAAATTGTGAACATGTATGTGTGACGTGTACTGCCATATTTAATCCTGGGCACAGCCTAGTAAAGTAAGAGGTACTGTTGTCCCCATGTCAGGGATGGGGCTCTGGGTGGGCAAGTCACTTGCCTGGAGACAAAAAGCTGGTGATGGTGGAGCTGAATATCAACTCTGGACTCATCTGATTCCAGAGCCCACAGCCAACGGCTCAATTATACTTCCTGGAGCCAGGGACTGCCCTTCAAGCTGCCTCCATAAAAGTATACACATGGTTACACACAGCAGAACATTTGGTTTATCTACAAGGGCAGCTTCAGGCATTGAAACCCCACCTCGGCAAATGGCAGGGGATTTGCACATGCAAAGAAACGGTTCCAGTCCCTGGTGGGAAAGTTCCCTGCAGCTTCAATTAGAGAACAGTCACAGTTGACTGACGCCTGATGCTCGCAGGGGCGGCTTTATTGTTTTATATGTGAAAAATGAGGGAAGGGCCAGGACCTCAGCATCAGGGAAACGAAGAAAGATTAAGAAGTATTTCTAAAGTCACACTAACCTAAAGGTCAATTCAACTGGGGAGCTGGGGAGTGGACGGGGTGTGGGGGCGGCAAACAAGCCAGCAGGCAGCTGAGAAGTATTTGTGGCACCAGAAGGAAGGTTGTGATGTCCACTAAAGGAAACCATGGCTATGAATTTCAGGGCATCAAGACCCTGTCAACACAGCTAATCCCCAGAGATGTTGGCTGAATAAGCCTTTGGTGACCAAAGAAGTGCACTGTGCAATCCATGTCAGCCTCCAGCAGGCCAATTTGTCCTCATATTACGCACTCTGCAGGCTCTGCTGCTCGACCCCCAGGTCGAGGGTCGCCGTCCAGCATCCCCCAACCCGATGAGGGGTGACCCGGCATGGTTAATAAGTCAACAGAATTCAGAAGCCACGGCCGGATTAAGAAGGCAGTTTTATTTTGGTGCCCTGCACTTCAAGCAGATTAAATAATCAAAAAGGCCGTGCCATCGGGGTCATGTTTGAATGCTACAGCTGTTCACCAAGGTTTGACAAACATTCTTTATGCGGCTCATCGTCTGAATGGGAAAGGCAGGGATGATCCTGGGGAGGCCAACATTTTAAGAAAGAAGAGGGGCACAATCCCAAGATCCTCTTATGGAAACTGAGCCCAGCCAGATGGAGACAAGGGGAAGGGCTGCTGAAATAAGTGGTCTTTTGAAAGCAACAACTGTTTTCTGCATTGAAGAAAAGCACAGGCAGCAGGCTTCAGAAAGACCGAATGTAACGCTGGGCTCCGAGTCTGCCATGCCTCTGGTGTGTTGCTCTGCACATTAATTAAGGGGGCTACGAGGTCAGCAAGGACGTCCGTGGAGACTCCGTCATGAAAGGTGAGCCCTGATCAATTCCCACTGGAAAAGTTCTTGTCTGGGAGAAAGACAGGATCCCGTCACAAAGGTATCTGCAGGAAGTCTATTTTCAAGTTGTCTGTCTTAAAAGACTGGACAGATATGAAAAAGTCTCTGCATGGGAAGATTCATGTTTGTGCATGTTAGGGGCAGAGGAAGAGGGTGGAAATGTATGCAGCCATGACATGAATATGCAGTTGGCATGTCATGAGCCATTTCATAGAAAACATGGTGCTTGGAGTTGGAGTTCATATATTATTCCTTTGAGGGGAAGAGTGGAACCAAAGAAAGAATGAACAAATTGGCTACAATCTCAGAGAGGCAAGCCTTTCATTAATAGATTAGAGGATTCTGCGGCAAACATGTTCTCTGGTTTCAGAATTAATCTCCTGCAACTAATTAATGTTTGAGCCCCACAGCCAAAAGTGAGGGGTGTCCGTTCATTACCGAGGGGAAGATGTTTTGGCTTTGAAAGGAGTCATTTAGGTTATTTGCAAAATTAGAGAAAGGAAAACAGTGGTTTTGCTCTTTGCTATTTTGGAAAGGGGAAGGGGACTGTGATGTTCTGCATCCTTTGAATTAAATTACACTGAGAAGAATCTTTCCGAAGGCTCTCTAAACATCTTCCCTATTGCCCCAGAGCATGGTGAGCCTCAGTAGAGAATGTAAGGAAGAAAGGGGATCAGGCTCAAGTGCATGCCAGCCACACTGTGTATTTCCCCAGTTCAGGCCCAAAACAAGCAAGCAAGCAAATAAACAAAACTGCTTTCAAGAGCTTCCGCTATGAGCTGATAACTATTTTGAATTTTGAATATTACTGTGTGGCCTTGTGAATTCCTGTACCATTTTATAATAAAATGCCCTTGACAGATGTTTGCCATATTTTGAAATTCAAGTTTCAGGAAAAACAGAAGGGAGTGTTATAGCTACTTTGGTGAATGACAGAGCAGTGTCTAAGAAAATGTGAACTTAGCATCTTCTCTGAGACCTGTGAGGAGATTTCTCTGGATTCCGGAGACCCTCCCCCAGTTCCTACACAGCCAAGGCAGTGTGCACAAGAACGCCTTTTTATAGCAATATTTGCAATGAAGAAAAATACTGCAGCAGCTCAACTACCCCTCATAAGGGTGGGGTAAATATTAATGCTAAATGTGGGATGGTCTCACCATGAAATATGCAACAGCAGTGAAACGGAATGAATTAGCTTTCCACATATCCATGTGGATAGATCAGTTTTGAGTGAACAGAGCAAATTGCAGAATGAGACATGTTGATGAATACATTTATTTGGATTTTTAAAAATTGTTATGCAAAACGTGTGTGTGTGTGTGTGTGTGTGTGTGTGTGTGTGTGTGTGTGTGTGTGTTTGACAGGCAGTGGAGTACAGCAGATAAGAACACTGACTGACAGACTCTGGAGGGAGAAAGACAGCCTTGGTCCTTATCACAGCCCTACTATAATACCTACTCTCTGTGTGAACTTGGGGAAGTGATTTAGCTTTTCTATGCCTAGCTTCCTCATCTTTCAAGTGGGGATAATAACGGAACCATATTTATAAGGTTATGAGAATTAATTAATATACAGATTTAGAAAGCACTTTGAATGGTAGGTGGCTCAAAATGCATGCTATATGGTTATTCGCTATTTTTGTCATTATTAACTATTGTTTTTCAAATGTCTGGAGAGACACATCAGTCATGTCATGTTGTGAGGAAAAGGGGCTTACGCTGGAAAATAGAAATTGGGCACGAATCAAAGTAAGTTCAACCGTGTAAGTAATACATTGCTCTTTTGAGTTAAAAGACAAAAGAATCAAGGAGGTACAATAACCCATGAATGACTTGCAGAACTATTACAGAAACATGGGTATTTATTATATTATTCTTAATGCTTTTCTATATTTAAAAAATCTTGAATAAAAAAGCAGACACTATCCTTGTTCATGGAATTACAACGGCAGAAATAGATACCAACATGTAGCAGTGCTTTAGATCTGCCCTATCCAATACAGTAACCATTAGCCACATGTAGCTATTTTTGTTTAAAATAGTTAAATGAAATACACATAAAAATTCCGTTCCTTGGTTGCAGCAGTTGCATCTCAAGAGCTCCGTAAGTGCATATGGCTATTGGCTCCCATACTGGGCAGCGGATGTAGGAACTTCCATCATCACAGAAAGTTGTACTAGACAGCACTGTTCTACAGCATACTTTACAGAAAATGTGAATATCTGAAATCTTCTGTCACTCTTTACATATCTGGCTCCAAATAATTCTGCTGTGGCCTATAAAGGCCATATGCCCCCCAAATATTTTTTTTACCCATCTATTTGATATCCTTAGTGTCTTCTGAATCAGGAGACACTAAGAGAGCATCTTCCCCAAGGCTTCTGACAACAGTTGGCACAAAGATTGCAACAGTTACTGACACTGGGGATGTACTTGTCCAGCCTGGCTCTGCTGAAGATGGTGAGTAACAGAACCTCTCTTTCAGGTTGCCGAAGGTCTTAACCTGGCTGGAAATCACATGACCTGGAAAGGGGGAAAAGTACTGATACCAGTCCTCACAAACTGGTTCCTATCCCAGTTTCTTTGTGTTTGTTGTAGGTGAACTGCTGCTGTTTTCCAGCGTGATTGTCCTGCTCCAGGTGGCATGCAGCTGCCCAGACAAGTGCCGCTGTCACTCATCTACAAACTTTGTAGACTGCAGCCGGCAAGGTCTGGCTCAAATCCCTTCCCATTTACCTCCTCAGACTCGAATGCTGCACTTACAAGATAATCAGATACACCATCTCCCTGCTTTTGCATTTAGGTCAGTGCCATGGCTCATGACCTTAAACTTGTCCAACAATTCCCTTTCAAATCTGGCCCCTGCAGCTTTCCACGGGCTTCAGCACTTGAAAGTTTTAAACCTAACCCAGAATTCCCTCCTTTCCCTGGAAAGCAGACTTTTCCATTCCCTCCCTCAGCTGAGGGAGCTTGATTTGTCATCTAACAACATAAGCCACCTTCCCACGTCCCTGGGCAAGACTTGGGAGAACCTAACTATCCTTGCAGTTCAACAAAACCAGCTTCAACAGCTTGATCGAGCGCTTCTGGAATCCATGCCCAGTGTGAGGCTTTTATTTCTCAAGGACAACCTCTGGAACTGCAGTTGCCACTTGCTTGGTCTTAAACTTTGGCTGGAGAAATTTATCTATAAAGGTCAGTAATGTCTACTTGGAACCCCCTCATCTGTATGTTACCAGTCTAGGATGAATCTCATCTGTTCTCTACATTAGAAAGCACATGGAGGAGTGTGTAAGGGGTGGATTTGGGCTTTTACACATCAATGTCATTTCATGGTATGGCAAAAGAGTCCAGTGAGTCATTACAAGGTGTTTAAATTCAGGATCTAAATTAATCTAGAAATACGCTGCATGGAGATAACTTTCACTTGTTTAATGAATACCACATGAAGTCACTTTTCTGGGAGTATGCTCTTAAGAAGGACATTCAATCACCACCTGAATAACTGCTGAACCTCAAACAGCACCAAACTCTTATTTTCCAGTGTGATCCGATTGTGGGTATGGTTATCTCTCTCTGGGATATTTTTCTCTCTTTGTCTGCTTCCACCCATTTGACAACTGTAACTCTTCTCTAAGATTATCCTTTCTGCTTTAGCAAATACCACTGTCACTGAAATTGGGTGCAGCAGGGCCGTTCTACAGTTACTCACAATTTCTTTAACATGATGAAAAGAGCAGAGCAAGAGATCTCAGAATATTAAAGATGAGGGGCTCTGGAAACCACCCAGGGTTTGCAAACTACAGGCCCAGAGCCACAGCCCATCTCCTGTTTCTGTAAATAAAGTTTTATTAGAACACAACCATGGCCATTCATTACATACTGAGTGAGTGGTCGCTTTGCACTATAAAAGCAAAGTTGAGGAGTTGTGGCAGGGGCTATATTGTCTATCTGGCCCTTTACAGAAAAGTTTGCCAACCCTTGTTGTCACTGGGCAACGGAGTCCCAGAGATGTTCAGTGACTTGCACAAGATCACAGAGCAGAAGCCCAAATGAGAACAGAATGCATGGCTTTTGGGCCTTGACCCGACATTCTTTCCCCCACCTCACAGTGCTTCTCTCCTTCTAGCTCTCAGCATGATTCATTCATTCCTATAGTTGAGTACCTTTTGTATGCCAGGCACTGAGAAGATAGCAGATCATAGAGATTCCATTCTGGTAGTAGAAACAGATGTTAAATAAGAAGATAAATAAAGATACAGGTTTAGAATAGCAGTTAGTGCTAAGAAACAATGAGGCAGGGGAAGGGGAGCATGAAAAAATAGGGGTCTCATTTTTGATAGGATGGATGAGAGGGTGACTCCAAGGTGACATGGCTGAGCAGCACCCAAAGAGTGAGGAGGTATGGGCCATGAGATAATTGGGGGAAAGAATCGCTGAGCACAAAGGGCTTGATGAGGAAGAAAACTTGGCTTGGCTACAGGACAAAAAGAGGCACAGGACAGTGGCTAGTGCAGAGGAAGGGAGTGAGTGGGCAGAGACGAGACAGCCCCAGTGCTTGGAGGCCAGATCCTGCAGGAGTGTGCAGAGAAGGCCAAGATGCTTGGACTTTATTTTAAGTGAGATGGAAAGCTCTTGAAGAGTTTTAGTCAAGCGAACAACATGGTCTGATTACAACGTAAAAGGTCACTCTGTAGACTCTTGGGAGAACTGACGAAAGGCTGCAGAAGAGGAAGCAGGGAGATGAGGGAGAAGGTGATTTCAGTCAGCCAGCAAAGATGATGGTGGCCCAAGCCAGGCTGGTGAGACGTGATCAGTGCTGGGAAATACTTGAAGTACTGAATTGACAGACATTGCTAATGGCTGGAGTAGGAGACTAAGAGAAGACCAGAATTATGGGAAAGTCTATTTTGATTTGTCCTGCAGTGGTAACCAGGCAAATGGTGATGCCTTCAGCTGACACGGGGCAAAGAGGGGAGTGGGGGGAGCGAGTGGGTGTGTTGAGGAGGTGGTCAACTAGGACTTTAGCTTGGGGCTTGTCAAGTTTGGGAGGTCCTGTACGTGTTCATGGGGAGTGGTTGAGTTGGGGGTTGTATGTTTAAGCCCGAGGCTCAGGAAGATGTTGGAACTATGGACATGAATTAGGGAATCAACAGTGTCTGCATGGTTGTAATGGTTCTCAGTGGGAATCTAGTTAGGGTACATACAACGTGGGTTCAAATGTACGATACTGAATGAAAAATCCTTCTCAACAACATACTGGCAAATTACATAATCAATAACCAGTCAGTATCCAAGCCAACCAGCAACAGGGGCCACATACTATGGCAACATTTTTCTTATAAACGGGTTGCAGATAAAATTGTTTACATCTAGAGGTGAAGTGGCTTGAACTCCTGCATTCTGGATTAAATAATAAGCACAGGCCAGCCCAACACAGAAAGATAAGTTTCATCAAAGAAAATTGATTAAAAAAAAAAAAAAAAAAGGTTCCCAGGATTAGGGCACTGGAAGCAACCTGGGATGGGAAGAATTCTGCCTTACTCTGCCACAAACTTGCTGGTTGTCTTTGGGAAAATTAGTATACTCCACTAGCACTCAGTGTTACCAGAGGGAAACTGATAATTTTAAGTCAGGAAATTCCTGTGGCCCATTCCAGGCCTCAGATTCTGTGATGCTGTTCAACACTCCCTCACAACAGAGGTAGCTGCATGAGTAGGGATCAGAGCTTTTCTTCAGAGGAAGGCAGAAATTGATTTGGGGAAACAAGACCTGGATGTCCCAACATAACTAGGAAAAATCCAAATATGTGCCAAACACGGGAGACAGTCTGATTATAGATATATTGTATACAGCCAAAATAAGGAAACAGATATTAGTCAAGACCTTCTTTAAAGGATAGATACACAAACTAATGCAAGCACTTCAGGTATTAGACAGGTAAGGATAATTGATACAACAGACTATCCCAGACTTTAGTTATATATCCAATAAAATCTGTTGCTCACTCATGTCAGGGGTCAGGGGAAATCAGGGCAGGGTCTGCATTGCATGTGGTCATTTCGGGACATAAGCCCCCTCCAGCTTGTGATGCCACCAACTTTACCACATGGGCTCTAAGGTCATCCCCAAGTGGAAACAAAATGCATGGCAGATTACACTGGGGTTTTATGGCCTGGAGTTGGCATTAATTGGTTCTATTGTCCAGAATTCAATCACATGGCCCCAAATGGACCACGAAGAGTGGGAAAATTTAGTCTTCCTGCTGGCCTAAGAGCAAAAAGATGTGCTTTGGTGAACACATAATAATATCTCCTCCACAGAAATACTACACAGATTGTACGATTACTATTCCTATTTATGAGTAAACAAGTCATCTTCATTCATTAAACATTTACTCTGAGCTAGGTATTATGCTAAATACTTGACCTACTTTATCCAACTGAGTCCTCAGAGCAATCTTGGGAAGTGAATATTAATTATCCTCATCTCCCACTTTCCAGATGAGCAAGCAGAGGCACAGTGTGGTCAAGGAAGTTTTGCAGGGCTGCACAGCTAAGTAATGCTCAGATTCAAGATATGAATCTAGTTTCTCCCAAGACAGAGGTGAAGAGCTACTGGTGGTCAGACAGAGAACGGGGAGTTCTTGGCAAGCTGGAGCTTCCTGCATTGTCAGTTACATGAATCTAGAAGGATGTGGGACCCTCAAGCTGCAATCAGCAGATTTGCCTATGGGGTCAAGGCCCGTGAAATGATGGAGGGTTGAAGTTGCATCCTGGCCGAGGAGCACCTGCACAGGAGACCACAGAGCTCTTGGCAGCCACAGCCCCTGCCTTCCAGCTATGTCCCAGGCTCCAGTCTGGGCATTTCCCTGGCTCTGGGTCCAGAGGCTGTGGTTCCCACCCTAATGCTGAATAGCAGAAAGTCTGGAACTGGAGAAAGACAGTTCTTATGTCTGCGGTGAGGTGACTAGGTAAACCACCCCAGTCAATGTGGAAGTCAGCTGATGAACCTGTCCATCCCCTGGCAGGTGGCCTTGCTTCCCCGATAGAAGTCTCAGTGCTCTCTGGCTGGATTAACGATCATGACTGCTTCTCAAAGCCCCATAACTTCATTTCTGTCTCTCTGATCTGTCTTGCAACCAACTCCCTGGCAGAGGCTCTGATGGCCAGGTGTAGAGGAATGAAATGGTCCATGAGACAAGAATCCTTAATCTTAATGGCACTTTGGACTCATCTGGAGCAACTGCTCTGAACCTCTGGCCTCATGAAAATCAGCAGCTCAAAAAAGGGAGAAATTCCCCTTTTATCTTTCTGCTTTAGGTTGGGGACTCTTTCCACAAAGGGTTGCTAGAGAAGCCAGGAGGGACCCAAGAGACTCTGGTGGTGGTGATTCAGTTTTAAGCAGTGGCAGCAAAAAAGGCCTGGGTTGAATTTTTGCCACTGCCATTCATCCTAGTGTGTCAGAACCACCTGATAATCCTTGCAAGGCAAGATAGGCCCCATCTTCTTACAGGGCCACTTAGGACTTATCTTGCAGGCTGGGAGAGAATGAATGCGAAAGCATTACTAAAACTCTGAAGTGCCATGCAATGGAGGGTGCTAATAATGTTGAAGCGACCTCTGCATATGTCTTTGAATATGACCTCTGCATATATCTTTCTGTTATAATTTCATCATTCACTTATTGCATGTACTAAGAAACTCCAATCTAACTTTGCCAACAGCGGTGCCAGTCTTTGCAGCTCGCCTAGGGGAGGTGCTTATGGCAGCCTGAGAGGACCGAGGCACAGGTCATGGGGCAGCTCTGTCTAGTCAAAGGGCTTCCTAGCAGACACTGCCAAGGGGCATCCTGCCCACTTCTCTGGCCCCACGCACTGCTGAGAGGGGGACGTGGAGAGGCAGTGAGTATAGTGGAAAAAACTTGGACTGAGCATGGAGAGCCAGGTTTGGGTGTTGCCTCATCACTTGTGACCTCTGTGAGTCTGGACAAGAGTTACCTACAAGAGTGGAATATTAGGACTTATCTAACAGTGCTTTGTAAACCTTCAAGTTGGATGCAAATCGGATGTTTACATGGCAGAAAATGTAGTCAGCGAAGTGCATTTTCCCAAAGTCAAAGAGTAAATCAGTGGTCATACTAGTCTAGACTTGAGTCTGCTAGCTTGGTGCTCTTTCTAGGGAATGACTGAGCACCCAAATTCCCCCTTCCCAACAGCAGTCTGCACACCTGAGGAAACCAGTCGCCTTACAGGGAATGGAAACTGCGTTTAATAACCCATTGGAAAGTTGGGCACTCAAAGCAGTAAATGTTCTGGGGCCTGAGGAGATACATTCATGATACTTAATTCCAGGAGCTAAACTTCCAGTATTGTCAAATCCACAAAACACTCCAAGACCATTCCACCTCTCCATTTGGCATCACTGAACAGCACCGAAACACACAGGGTCTTCGTAATTGACACATAACAACACAACAATGCATACTTGTTTTATTTTCTCCTTAGATTTTCGATGGGAATCTGGTACAAAAGATTTCTTGTCTCTGTGGCTCACGAGGGCCGTGCGCGGCAGGAACGTGGTACGCAGCGGTGCCCTCGCTGTCGGCCCCCAGCACGCCTTCTTGCCAGTTTTTGCATTGTTTTCCCTGAGCATTTATAGAATGAGAAGGTAACTGGGCTTCTAATGAATTCTTGGTCATAAATAATTGCCAATTTAGTGCGTGGTGTTTTTAGTATTTAGCCAATTTAGGAATCCTAAAATCATAAAATGTGGTTGTTAAATTCTTTGACTCCAGGATTTAAAAAAAAAAAAGGCACTTCGTAAATTCCACCTGCCTAAGTTTTTGCAGGCAGTGGATTCTAGAACTCCATTGTATCAAGGCTCTGTTATTGTCCTTTGCTTTTGTTTTTTAAAGGGGGAATAACAGATGGCGTCATCTGTGGATCACCAGACATCTGGAAGGGAAAGGACCTCCTTCGGATCCCCTATGAGCTGTACCAGCCCTGCCCTCTTCCTGCTCCTCATCCAGTGTCCTCGCAGGCTCAGTGGCAGGGCTCTGCCCATGGGGTGGTGCTGAGGCCTGAGAGCCACAACTCGGGGGAGCAAGACCTCTTGGAGTGTGAGCTCAAACCCAAGCCAAGGCCGGCCAACCTGCGTCATGCCATTGCCACCGTCATCATCACTGGGGTTGTATGTGGGATCGTGTGTCTCATGATGTTGGCAGCTGCCATCTATGGCTGTACCTATGCAGCAATCACAGCCACATACCATGGGGGACCCTTGGCTCAAACCAATGAACCTGGGAAGGCAGAAGCAAAAGAGCGATTTGACAGCTCACCAGCCTGAGAGCTTTTGTCTCAAGTAGGATTGGTTATTGAAGGCTAGAAGACAGTGACGAAGGAGGGCTGATGTGTTCACTGTTAGTCTCATTTTGCTTTTGCCAAAAGAAAAAAAAAATGTGTCTGTAAAAAATATTCCTGGGGAGGAATTTGTGTCGAGATTTAAAAAATACCATAGGTGAAATAGAGATGAAACTTGTGCTCTGGACCCGAGAAGTTATTACGACAATTCTATGTGGAGGTAGGACATGCATGGAGAAAGGGAGGATGCCGTCTCTTCCACGTACTCTTCTGTGGATTAAGTTCCTTTTACAGAGCAACGGAAATTCAAACACACATGCCAGTCAGCATTCCTGGGAGCTTTATGGTCCTTGGGAAAACTGCCGAATTTTCGGTGCCTGGGAAGAGGCTGGTGATCTTACCCGAGGGGCATTGAATGCCTCTATAATTCATGCTAGATCAGTGATACTTTTAGATGTTGTATATGTTATATATTTAATGGGTGCATCTGTTGGTTGGAAATTTCATAGCTTGCCACAAGAGTCAGAGTATATTTAATTTTGTAAATCAGAAAACCATTTGGGGCTTTCTAGGCCGCAGAGGAAGAGGAAGATTCCATGTCCGGATAATGGGACTCAGGCCCTCAGTCCAAGGAAGTTTTCTGATGCAAGGGTAAATAATATGTAAACAAACACAAAGAGGATGGGGAGCCAGAATTTGGGGCAGATATTACCGAAAGGCCATATCCACCAAGGGATTGGAAGCTTCCATTTACAACTCTCACAGCAGGAATGAATTTAGGTCGGGCTGAGAGCGAGATAATGACTTTTGTGTATCTGTATCTGCATACATAGCGCACAGAGTGCACAGAGTTGTACAACCACACCCACACATAAACATACTCAGAGCAATCAGTTTACCCACTAATGAAATGCAGCCGTGTCAGGGTGGAAGCCAGCAGCTGTTGTCCACCACCCAGATTGTCCACTCCCCATGCTGAGACAGGAGTATGAAGGAAGACTGAAGAGAGGGGAAATTACCAAGAGACTCAAGATAGGTGGAGGCAGCTATCCTGAACATTATTTAGGCCATGGTTTTAAAAAAAATCAGGTGTGGCTGGCTTTATTCCACAGACATGGTCTTGAAGAGTTGCATGCAAAGTAAATTTTTGTAAATTGAATCATCATTTTAATGCAGTAGGGGAGCTGGCTATTTAAAGGAACCTTTCATGGAATCTTTCTGTAATAGAAATAATTGGCTCCAGATTTATGCATTTTGTAAATTTGCATTTTCTCATGCTAAGTTTTCTTAAAGTGGAATCTACCTGTTCTCTCTCATGATGTTCCAGCTCATACATAGTCACTTGTTAGTATTAAAATTATTTTACACAAGAAGAGAGCACAGAGGAGTCATGGACACGTTAAAAGCAGAAAATGGCAAATACAGGGGCACTGTCCCTCCAGAGATCATGACAGACATTGCTAATCAATCCTAGCACTCCTCCTAGCTCAGCACCACAGATGCCTTCTTAAGACAGCGCTGTAGGCAACCAGAACTAATCAACTGGAGTTGGTTCAAAGGATAAAACACATTTGCCATTCAGGGTACTGGCTCTACATTCACTCCTTCAGGCTATATAATGATTGGTTTGGATCCTAAATCAGTAGTCCATTCTCTAACTGAAAGGTGAATGGAAGGTTCACATGTGTATGGGAGAGATGCAGGGAAATGGGTAAACCCACCACACCCTACTGTGCAGGTCTCACACTGATGCACCCCTAACAATCACAGAGGCAATCTACACCTGCCATGGTGCTTCATAGCTAGTGTGGGCCCCACACATCCAGAGGCTAAAGATGGACCACCTTACTAGAGCAACAATTTTGCTTGATGATTTTTCTAGGCGACAAAGTTTAAACTTTGATGGTAAGTTTCTTTCTGAATATCAAAATAAACTGAAATACCTTAAATTGTAGATCAAAAAAAGACCCCAAATAAAGCCCGCTGATGCATCAGCTCTGTCCCAGGCCCTGGCACCTCCTTTCCATGGGCCACTCAGTGGGTAAGGCTCAACATCCTTCTTTAAGGATGTAGTGACTACTTTCCAAGTAAAAAAACCTTTCTTTCCATGGCCCTGGACAGGGTATGCCTGGCCAAGAAGGCAATGTGAGAAAGAAATTGTATACGTTTTTATACCTTGTCCCAGTTTCACCAAATGTTTCCAGAGATCACACCGTGTACCGTGTACCAGGCATGGGGCAAGGTATTCTTGTGTAATCCTGACACCCACCCCATGAGCCACTTGAACAAATATTACATTAGCTGAGACCTACTGAGGCCAATAACGCATGCTTCCTCTTATGGCAGTGATTTAAGTCTGCAAGTGTACTAGGCCCTGCCAGAGGTTTGGTGATAGTGGAGATCAACCCTGTCCCCTCTACCCACAGAGATTACATGAGGGGGTTTCTGACCCACCACAGAGAACCCTGAACGTGACTAGAAGCCTTGCTTGTCAACACTCACATCCTTTTAGATTTCTAAGTACACAGGATAACTCAGGCAAACAGACTTCCTGCTTTATGGGCAGTCTTTAAGGAAAATGATTAAAATGATGCACACTTACATTCAGATTTCTATCTGTTGCCTACAGTCACCACAAACAGCAGTTGGCAATGAAAATAATTACTTATCCTGAAATGTCAACAGCTTCTCAGCACAGAAAAAATATAAATCAAATTGTTTAGATTAACAAATGCAGAGTTATCATTTTTTAATATGAGAAATGAAATGTTTTAACTGTAAAAAACATTGCAGATGAAAGACCCAATTTGCAGGGTATTCTGTGAGAACCACAAATTATCTTTCACAACCACTACAGCTCATGAGGGGTAATTTGCAAACGCCTCATAGATTATTTTCAGCTGTTTATTGCTGCTGTCATATTCATAGATTCCCTTATAAAAATGTCCTTCTGTCACAGAGCCTTGCTGAGGGTAAACTGTGGACAAAAATCACGTTCAGTGTTGATTGTTTCTGTGAAAACTAAAAATATAGTTCTTTCATCATATTTAGTAGAACAGTATGACTGCAGATGGGTGATTTTTTGCTTTGCCAGGGATCATAAATTCACAAACAGATATTGTAGCTGTCTGCAGTGAGGCATAAAAATAGGGGGCATGAAGAATGTACCCTGCTGTAGAGATTTTGGAGAAGGAAGACCTAGAATCAACTCTATATCTGAAAAGCTTTTACAAATAAGGCAAATATTTGTATAATCTCCCTGCAGTGTCAGAAAGAATCTTTTGCTTAAGATTATAAAATGCTGGTGGATTATTAAGTGTTTTATTTTTCCTTACAAAAATGGGAAGACTAAAAAGTGATGCACACACAGATTTCTTCCTGAAGGCTCATGCAAATCAAGTCTCCTCGCTTGAGTTAACCAAGTACCCCTGAAACAAGACACCTTTATCCTAGATCCCAAATATCAAAGAAAGTGGTTAAATCAATTTCTAAAATAATCTATCTGTAGCACACATTCACATAATTCCACAACTGTTAGAAATCTGTAACTTTCTGTTGCAGTTCAGGAAATCACTGTTTCCGGTTTCAGAAGACCCATCAGTGTATTCATTGCTAAATGCTATTGACAGAAGCCTACACAAAATGATATCCGAACTCCACATGGCATCACTGGGCAATGGTTTGCATGCATGACTTTAGGGAACCATCTTGTTTGCCCTTTTGATGAAAATGCTTTGTTTTTTAGACTCAAATTACAATGCACTCTCCAAGAAACACCTGCCCCATTCAGAGAAGCAGCTGCCTAATCAACCACTTCCCTTTCAGATTCTTTTTTTTTTAAATTGATTTGTATTTATTTTTAGTGATATATAATCTACATTCTTAACTGAACTACTCATTTCTACTTTTTACTACAATGGCACTGAATATTCATTTGGAAGGATAGGATGTCAGCCAGCTTCAAAGGCCCATCAAAAAGACCCTGATAACAAATCAGAGGACTGAGGGCTGAGGAAGGTCTCAGAGAGCATTTAGTCCAGGCCTGGAGAATTTCAGAATAGCTGCCGCCAGCTTTTCTATCCATTGCAGCCATTGCTAATAGATCGTGGCAAACTTATCTGCTGAGCCCAGACAAGGCCTCAGAGTTTTTTTTTTTTTTTTTTAAATCTGTTTTCCAGGTACCCACTACTGATGAACTAGAGTTGACATAAGAGATTAAGCCTATTTGCTGCTCTGATATAGTTCTGTGTCCTTATTTTACAAGGAAATGGAAGTATGGAAAGGAAAGCAATGTTACAAAAGTCATGCACAGAATTAACTGCAGGCTTATAAATGCAGTTGCAGGAGAGGGGTTAGCACAGATAACACAACCTGACCCTCACCATTCTTTGTTCATTTTGTGGTAGACCACAATATCAAGACTATGACTTTATTATACTAATTATTTGGATAAGAACAACTATAGCACCACCATCAGCATTTATTGAGCACCCAATTGCATGCCAGGTATTTTCCAAGCTTAATACTTAATTTTCTGTAAGCCTCATAGTAACCAAAACATATGGGTATTGTACTGCTGTATTATATAGGAAAAGGTACATTTAACGGCATTTGCTGAACATCAAAAACTAGTAAATGGTGGAGTGGGAATCTGGATGCAAGTCTTCCCAAGGTCAAAACCCAGGCCCTTTCCAGGACCTGACAGGTTCAAAGAAGTCAGACTTAGGATCCTTTCCTGGCACTGCCAACACTTACCTTAAAGCATGGAGGGCAAAGAAACCCAACCACGAAGCAGGAGGACACTGACCGAGCTCTGGTCCCACCAAAACCAGGACAGCTGAAGGAGCCAAGGCTAAATGGGGAAATGAGAACCCTTTCATCATCTACAGCTCTGCTGGGCTGGAAAAGGCAGTCTTAGAATGAGAGGGGAAGAAACTCAGTCACACTCTCTTGAAATTAGAGAAAATAAGAAATTGAGAGTCTAGATTAAGATGTTAGCCAGTAAGTAGTATTTCTCACTGAAATATTCATTAATACACAGAAGAGGAGAAAAGTTATGAGGGCCCTAGAAATTGGGAATACTGTTCAAGAATAGCTAAGTCTCCAGGAGGAATATCTACTATCTAAAGCAGGGGTACAGCCTTGGCAACATGGTAAAACCCCATTTCTACAAAAAATGCAAACATTAATCAGATGGGATGGCACATACCTATGATCCCAGCTACACAGCAGCCTGAGGAGGGAGGATTGCTGGAGTTCAGGAGATCAAGGCTGCAGTGAGTCTTGGTGACTGAGTGAGATCCTCTCTCAAAAAAACAACACAAAACAAAACAGAGCAGAAGTGTGACCTTGAAACAGACGAGTGGGGTATCAAGGAGGAGATCAATAGTCTGCACTGCCCATCCTATGCTGATATGCCTTCCACTGAGACATCGAGTTTTAAAAAAATCAGAGACAAATCACCCTTTCCTATACGTAGGTTATCTGAGGACATTTAACTTCCACAATACGTCCCACTGAGACCCCACTGTCTTCATTCATTAAAGATGAAGACTCTTACAATGTCGCATATAGTAAGATGAAGAAAGGAAGAGAAGACAATCAGATAAGCACAATCTAGGGCTTTTAATTTACTGTCTCTTGCAAAAAATAAAAGCCACAGAAGACTTTGATTTATCCAAGTTAAGCGGTCAGACTACCAGGCAGCAGAATGTGGTTTCCCCTTACCAGTCCTGTAATACCACGCTAAACGGCAGAGGTCCACACAGGGCCAGTGTGTGTCAACCAACCTTCTATCTCCGAAGAAAACCCTAAAGTCAACAACAACGGATGCCTGAGGGGAAGCCGTCTACCCCATTCATTGGCAGATATCTCATATTTTAAAGATGATTACCCATCAGACAAAGGGCTGATATCCAGAATTTACAAAGAACTAAAACAGATTTACAAGAAAAAAACAAGCCCATTCAAAAGTGGGCAAAGGATATGAACAGATGCTTTACAAAAGAAGACATACATGAGGCCAACAAAGATATGAAAAAATGCTCATCATCACTGGTCATTAGAGAAATGCAAATCAAAACCACATTGAGATACCATCTCACGCCAGTTAGAATGGCGATCATTATAAAATCTAGAGACAACAGATGCTGGAGAGGATGTGGAGAAATAGGAACACTTTTACACTGTTGGTGGGATTGTAAATTAGTTCAACCATTGTGGAAGACAGTGTGGCGATTCCTCAAGGACCTAGAAATAGAAATGCCATTTGACCCAGCAATCCCATTACTGGGTATATATCCAAAGGATTACAAATCGTTCTACTATAAGGACACGTGCACACGAATGTTCATTGCAGCACTGTTTACAATAG